CTCTGCTGGTCAGGGGGGATGCCTTCCTTGTCTTGGATCTTTGCCTTGACATTCTCAATGGTGTCACTGGGCTCAACCTCGAGGGTGATGGTCTTGCCGGTCAGGGTCTTCACAAAGATCTGCATTGTCTGTTACAAGGAAACAGAACAAAACCACCACAAGAGTTTAGCAGACATTTTGCTGGCATTCCTAATACTGAAGTTAAAACATCTTTTTGTATTGGCCCAAAAAGTAAAAGGAAAAAAACTTGACTAAGAAACTTCACTAAACACGCAGTCAGACTTGACCAAGCAGTGGAAACCCAGGCGTGGGCCAGTTAGGAGGCAAAGCTCAGAAATCTAACCAATTATCAGATTCTTCAGTTAGAGTTTTTTTATCTTTGGGGATTCATTGAGGGTACAAGAAACCAGGTTACACTGATTGAATTTGTTACGTAAAGTCCCTCTTACAATTGTGTCTTGTCCCTCAAACGATGTGGCATACACCAAGACCCCACCCCCTCCCTTTCTTCGCTCATCCTTTACCCCACCCCTCCCTCCTCTTGAATTAGCCCGCACTTATATCATCCCCCCCTCACCAGATCTCTGGCCCCTGTCAATTCAGGAAGGTCTACTCCAGGCCCACGCCCTGCGTCCTGCAACCGACTGAAATCTACTACATACACACCGGCAGGTGGCCCCACCCCACATTATGAGCCAACATTAATAGGTGACGTCACGTGACTAACTGCGCCCCGCGCTGCGCGCCCCCCCCCCACCCACCCAGTGCTGATCTGTTCCGCCATAGTTACCGCCTCGCCAACGGAAAAGAAACCAATCTCCCCTCACCCCCGGTGAAACTGCAAAACACAGGACTTCTCGTCAGAGTCCCGAAACAGTCCCTGACCCTGTCTAAACAAAATTTCCTCATCTCCCACCATAATTAAGTCCTCATGACGCTTCCGTGTTTTCCTCCCACCCACCATCGTCCACAATCTCATCTCGCCAACCTCACAGACCTCACAGTCAGGCTCCTTCCGATTTGGGCTCGGAAGCCGCTGTCATTTTGCTGCGTTCCTCCCCACCTCAGGGTCACCCTGCTCGCGAATCCCGGGCGGCTGAGTGTCGGCTGCCTCTTACCCGGGCGGGCGGGCGGGCAGGCCAGCCGGCCTTTCTGGCGGCCGGACAGTCACTAAGCCCCGTGCCAACCTCAGTAGCCCTACACTTACCAAGTAACGATGTCAGCAGCTGACACTGAGAAACAGCAACTCAGCTCCCGGCCTCGGCGGAACTCGCTGCGCCACACCCGGCGCTTCCTTATATAGCCTCCTTCAGTAAACCGCCCCGAGGAGATCCTTCCGCAGAAACGCCGAGAAGGGACTACTTTTTTCCAACACGTTCCAGTCTCCGGAAAAAAAATAAGTATCCAGAGTCATCTAGTTATTCTCAAATAACATGTTCTTCTACTGACATAGGAGCTCATAGGAGCTCTAGCGATGAATCCGATGGGAACCGGGCTGCCCCTCTGAGCGGCCCGGCGGAGGGATCAGCGCGCTCGCTACGCGCAGCTACACAACGTGGCCGGTGCTCGCCCGGGGGGAGGGGAGTCGGCTGTGAGGGGGAAGGAAAACAGGGCGCGGATCCCGCGGATCTCGGAGCGGGCAGGCGGCCCAGGTTTCTTACCCCCAGCCCTGGCACCCCCTCCCCTCGGCACCAACGGTCCCCGCCGGGCGCGAGACCCGCCCTGGGCGGACAGGGGCCTCGGGCCGAGTGCCACCTGCAGGGTTGATTACCCGCACCCTTGGAACACTCTTGCGTCACTGACGGGTTTTTATTTTGGGTTATTTTTAAGAGAATGACGGTGTTTTTGTTTCACTAAATTCCCCTCCTGCCGGCCTGGGCCCGGGACTCCGGCTCCCAGAGGCCGCGGGACCCTGCCCAAGGCGGCCGAGCCCATCCCCCGCCGAGCGGGCGTCGGGACAAGGGCCGTGACTCGGCAAATCTCGACTCCGGACGCCGGCCAGGGCCTTGGGGACAAGCGGGAGGCCCACAAAAGTAATAACCGAAAGATAACTTTCCTGTGGGGAAATGACTGGTGTGTTCAGGTGGGATTTGGGACAGAAACGTGGAAAATCCATACAGCCCTTTAAAACTATTGGAGCTGGAGCTGAAAGCTGCCCGCACTGGGCTTTTCTAGGCTTTCCGGTTAATTCTGGGCGCCTCGGTCTTGAGCTTGTGCTCGGTGTCCACAGGGAAGCCCCGAAATTTCTGTTCTGTAGATGTTTGCTCAGAAATTGAACCCATTTACGCCTGAATCTCAACCCGGCGTGTTTCTGGGGGAAAAAAATGTAAATATGTCAAATATGAACTGTAATTCTGCAGGCTCGGTCCATTTTGGTAAAAAAAAAAGGGAGGGGGAAAAAAGCTCAACCAGCTAGGTTTTATTTTCACCACATCCTGTTTCGTGGTCCTTATGTGTCCTTCAGCATTTTCTTAAAAGTGTTCTAAAATATATGCTTCTGGTGAAATTTCAACGTGGGTTTTTAGAGGCTTACAGCGAAAGGTCTCCCTAATGCCCTTAATTCTCCACCATGTTTCCTTCTGGGCTCTTCTAGAAATACTGTCCCACAAATGTGTGGGTAGAGAGTGTCACTTTGATATTTACCTATAAAGCCTTCAAGAACAAAGATAAAAAAGGAAACTACTAACAAAGTGTCCTGCCTTTAGGAAGAGGCTGCATTCTTGTTTTAAATCATAAACATTATACTTAAAATCTGAATCAAAACAAAAGTGCTAGTTATTTTCTATGGTAACCTTGTATTTATGAAAATACCCAGCACAAGGTCTGCACCTTTTTTTAAAAGACTTTAACCTGTATAATTTTTGACATTTTCCAAAGAGAATGCATTACTGGGAAACAAATAATAAAAGACACGAATTGGATCTAAGTCCTGTATGTTTCTGGTGGGAAAAATTGTAATGTGTGAAATGTGTTTATACAGGCAAATTCTATTTTTATAAAAGGGAGGGAAAAAGGCTTACCAGCCAGTGTTTTTATTTTTACCACAACTTATTTATATAAAATGTCATTTTCCAGGGTTAGCAGGAGACCCCAATGATTTCCAAAGCAGATTTCTGCAAAGGTTATTTCTACATTCTGGGAAGAACTTTTTAAAGAAACAAAAAGCTGAGATTCTTTCTAAGGTGAGCAGACCTGGCTTCAAACCACACCCTGTGAGTTTTGGGCTGTTGCTTTGCTGCAAGCCATGTGATTCATTGTTTAAAGGCTGAGTCATCAGCTTTGTGACAAAGCTTTTTTCAAGGTCTGAAAGGTACAGAGAAAAACAGCCCTGATTACAGAGGCAGGGAGAGGAGGAGGAAAGAGAAGGAAGAGGGACTGAGGGACAGAGTCCGAAATGGGGAAAGGGTTAGCTCCAAAGAGAAACTCATGTCTCTAGCAGAAAAAATTATCAAAAACACCCCACCGGTTCCTAACCTAAGTCCACCAGAGGGCTGTTTTTGAAATAAACATTTCTCCAAGTGCACTGTGGTCAGAGGGAGGGAAAGAGAAAATGGCCTTCTGAAGTAGAGGTGACAGATGTCATAAGAAGGGCAGTTATCAACCAGGAGTGATGTGCCCTTCAGGGGGGCATTGGCAATGTCAGGTGGCATTTGGGGTTGTTACAGCTGTGAAGGAGGCAGCAGGTAGGGAGGCTACTGCTAGCACCTAGTGGTAGATGCCAGGGTGCTGCTGGACATTCTGCAGTGGACAGGTTCCCCACAACAGAGTTAGGCCCAAAATATCAATAGTGCAAGTTGAGAAACCCTGCCTTAGAGAGGGTTTATGTTGTTGTTAAAACTGCTTTTTCATTTTCTGAAAAGGGCTCCCTTAAGTCTAAATGTCCCACTTGGACTCATGACTCAGGTATCAAGTCACGCTCCTAAAACCTAAACCCTCCTGACCTAGAATGGGATGTGCTAGAATGTACCAGAAGCAGGATGAGTCATTGGATCAATTTTCAGTTCATTCCACCCACACATCCATCCTTTGCACACTCCCCAGAAAAGATTGCTTCAGAGCTGGCACCAATGGAAAAGGGACAGAGGCCCAGCAACAGGGAGGGATTGGTGGGCAGACTTGAGCACGTGATGGGCTGTGCTCACAAAGGGCCTGGTGCTGGGCTGCAGCCTGGGAGGGTGGGGGTGGACTCGTGTCTGCTTGTCTGCCAGCTTTTTCTTCCTTCCCTGGAAGAATTCAGTCTCCCAAGGTCACAACCTTGTATGTGACTTAATCCAACACCAAGAAGCTGTCTGTGAGCACAAGGATCAGCAAACATTTCCCCTCCAAGAGAAAGGGTGCAATCAGAGAGCTGGGTGGGAAGGGTTTGCCTTGCTTTGTCTTTGGTTATATAACCATAAAAGGTTGTCAAAGGTATCTGACCTTAGAGGCTTTGCAAACAGGAAAGAAAAAAAAAAGCCCTAGGGGATTTTATTCTTCTTCCTGTTTAGAAATGTGATTTTGAATTGTGTGGCAGAACACAAGAAGCTCCATCTTAAAAATAACCAGTTCATCTTGCACCTGTCAAAGTCACACTTAAGTTCTGGTCTCTTAAGTTTGCCTATGCTAACCTATCTTTGTGTGTATTTATGAAAACATAAGATCTGAGCCTTTTTCAAAATAGACTTTAACTTCTATAATTTTTGGAAGTTATTTAACCTATTTGGGCTTTGTTTCTGTTGTTTGTTTTTTAATTGTAGTGAAATACATAGGATTTAACATTTTATTTATTTATTTATTTATTTATTTATTTTGAGACAGAGCCTCCAGCTGTTGCCCTGGGTAGAGTGCTATGGCATCACAGCTCACAACAACCTCCAACTCCTGGGCTCAAGCAAGTCTCCTGCCGCCGCCTCCCAAGTAGCTGGGACTACAGGCGCCCACCACAACACCCAGCTGTTTTTTGGTCGCAGCTGTCATTGTTGTTTGGCGGCCCGGGCTGGATTCAGCTCAGTTGTATGTGGCTGGCGCCTTAGCTGCTTGAGCCACAGGTGCTGAGCCAAATTTATCATTTTAAAATGTACAGTTCAGTATTGTTACGTACATTCACATCCAGTGACCATTGCCACCGTTATTACCATACATCTCCAGAACTGTTTTTTTGTTTGTTTGTTTTTTTGAGACGGAGCCTCAAGCTATCCCCCTGGGTAGAGTGCCATGGCATCACACTCACAGCAACCTCCAACTCCTGGGCTCAAGCGAGCCTCCTGCCTCAGCCTCCCAAGTAGCTGGGACTACAGGCGCCTGCCACAGCGCCCGGCCATTTTTTGGTTGCAGCCATCATTGTTGTTTGGCGGGCCTGGGCTGGGGATTCAAACCCGCCACCTTAGGTGTATGTGGCTGGCGCCTTAGCCGCTTGAGCCACAGGCGCCGAGCCCTCCAGAACTGTTTTTATGTTGTGAAACTGAAACTCTGTCCCCCATTAATCAACTCCCCATTCCTCAGTCCCCAAGGTCCTGGCACCCACCCTTCTGCTTCCTATCTCTATGAATGTGACTACTCCAGTAACCTCATATAGAGGGCTTTGTTTAATTTAAATCTAAAATAAAATTTAATTGTTGGAAAAACATTTTCTCTTAAAGATTCACACTATTTTTGGAAAGCTCCATTTCCCAACACAAAGCTTTAACAATAACAACTCCTCATGATATTTTTCCTTGTTATGTGCTATTAGAAATAATTATAAGATACAAAGTAAAACAGATGCACACAGTCAGTTCTGTGTTAGGCCTCATCACTTTAGAAATAAAGTGCCTGTGGCTCAAGGAGTAGGGCTCCAGCCCCATATACCAGAGGTGGTGGGTTCAAACCAGGCCCTGGCCAAAAAGAAAAAACCTTGTTGACATTTAGGGAGAAATAACCTTCACCAAAGCTCATTAGAACCAGAAGTTGTCACCACTGTGTCACCACGGTGAGTCACTCCATGGATTTTTCCCCTTAAAACCTTGTTGACGGGCACACCTGTAATTCCAGCACTTGGGAGGCTGAGGGAAGTGGATTGCCTGAGTTCACAAGTTGAGACCAGCCTGAGCAAGTGTGAGACCTGGTCTCTGAAAAATAGCCAGGTGTTGTGGCAGGGGCCTGTGGTCCCAGCTACCTGGGAGGCTGAGGCAACAGAATTGCTTGAGACCCAGAGCTTGAGGTTGCTGTGAGCTGTGATGCCATATCACTCTATTAAGGGTGACAAAGTGAGACTCTGTCTCAAAAAAAAAAAAAAAAAAAAAAAAGGGCGGTGCCTGTGGTTCAAAGGAGTAGGGCACC